TCGCTGTGATACTTGTTTAGTGTTTTGTACCACCGTGTGCATACATATATGCTTAGTGAGTTTACTTGATTTTGCACTTGATCGCTGCGTATGCCATAGTGCTGGTACGCGATAAACCTGTACGTTTGATCGTGCGGCTTTGTCACACCGTAACACTCTTTCGTAGACATCCATATCAATACGCCCAATCCATAGACCCCCTACCTAAATCACTGCAGAAAAGTCTGCCACACACCCTAAACCAACCACATGCAACCCAACCCTTAAAACCAAGGCCAAGACTTGAAGTGTGCATTCACCATCTATTCGTTGCTTCCACTACCCCAGAGTTATCACAGGCTTGCACTCAAGTATCATCCGGACAAGAACATAGGCGACGCTGCTGCAGCTGCCAGGCACATGTTTGCGTGTGTCAGTGAGGCCTATAACACCCTCATCGACACCAAGCTGAGGCTAGCGTACGATGAAGGGGGTACAGAGAAGTAAGTGCGGGTGGAGTGTCTGTGTGTTGTGTGTTGTGCCTGTGTGTTGTGTGATATGTCTGTGTGTTGTGTCTGTGTGTTGTGTGTTGTTATTTGGTTATGTGGAACTTGGTTGCGGTTACGCGGAGCTTGATGTGGTTTGTATGTACCGTTGGTGTCTCTGTCTAGATTGAGATGTGTCTATGTGGAAGTTCGGTCATTGTGGGTTAAGGTATATAAAGCCATATGCAATGCTGTTGTGGATGTTGTGAGAAGGGCGTATGATTCAGGTGGTTTAGCGAGGTTTATCCTAGTGGTTTTATTTATGTAATATAGCTACAGGGTGTAGTAAGGCACATACTAAATTTATATATATATATATATATATGCCACTCGTCTTGTTGCACACTTGTATTTTGGCACTACCAAAGCACTCAGTTAATGCATCCATAGAGATAAAATGCGGAGATTTATATTTGAACAATGTCTTCTCCGCTTGTAGCTGCACATTGAACCGCAGTAGTTGTACTTATTCATGCGTGTGGTTCTTCCATAATTATTTCACACTTTGTCAATAGGCTATTATGTATTAGTACCATCGACGCAAGGTTGAACATAACATACGACGAAGGAAGCACGTACAGGTATGGTTAAAGGGCACCTGTGATGGCTGACTTACTTTAAGTTTGAATCATCCGTGTGTGCGTGGGCTATCGATATATACGAACGACGCGAAGACAATGGTGAGAATGGAGAGGGATGATTGAGACATATGGAAAGATAGGGTTGTGTCCATCATATTGTTCTGAGGAAGTTTCGCATTTCACTTCATCAACCATACAAAGTGGTCATGATGAGGCTGACACTGTACTTTATGTCTGATGTTTTCATATCCATTAAAACACCCAAAGATTGGCCGAAGTTCGGGAAGATGAGATGATGGCACCCCGATGGAAGGAAGCCGAAGACGTCATGGCTGATTTCGACGAGCTTAACGATTGCTTCAATTCGATTGCTTCATTGAATGTAAGTAGCTTG